AGTAAATTTTGATCATTGTTATAACAGAGAATTGAATTTTGATACTCAGACTTAAAACACACTTAAAAATAAAGGTTCCAAAAGGGGATTTTACAGCGATGCCATGGAATAACCATTTTGGCAATCTTTCTTAAAAAAGTTCTTAAAAGAAACAATTTTTTTTCTTCGTGTGAAGAACATTTTAATAATCTGAAGAACATTTTTCCACTATTAAGAATCTTTTGTGCAATGGAAAGGGATGTCAAAGGTCACCAATGGAGTCACCGATGTCAATAAAGTATTTTTCATCAGACATTCTATAATGTGGAGCACAAGTGATACCTGATTGCTAGCCCTGTACTGTCCTCAGTGATCTGTTTATTCTGAGCTATTTAAAGGGGTCATATGATGCTTTTTTAAAGATCATTATTTTGTGTATTTGGTGTAACAGAATATGTTGACATGCTTTAATGTTCAAAAAACACATTATTTTTCAAATACTGTACATTATTGTAGGTCCTCTATGCCCCGCCTCTCTCAAACGCTTCGTTTTCTACAAAGTCCCTCCTTCTGACAAGCGCAGTCTGCTCTGATTGGCCAGCTGACCCAGTGCATTGTGATTGGCCGAACACCGCAAGCACTCGTCGGAAATGTAACGCCCCTTACCATAATCGCGAGCTTCATCTTTCAAAATAAATGTAAAGACAGAGCCCGAAAGGGGAACAGAGTCGCGTGACAGACACAGTGATGAAGCTGGTATGTGTTTGCAGTACACAAGCCACGGTTAAGACAGCTGACTCCACTGTGATGTGACCCTGTCTCTCTCTCGCTCTCTCTCTCTCTCTCTTTCTCTCGCTCGCGCACACACACACACGATGCGCAACACTCCGCATTTGAACAGTCAATAGCAAATACTTAAACTAATAACAAAACAGTAGCTGATTCAGAAGTGCCAGATTGTCATAGCAAAGTCAGAATTACCTCCTCTCCTAGGTTCACGAAACGGTCGTCCATAAAATGCATTGCTGTTCTGTTGTAAGTAATCTTAATGCATCTACTTTCGGAAGGCCAAGTAAAGTGCTTTTGCTTTCGCCTAGAAACACACAGGGTCTCCCTGACATGGCTGCTTCAACACTAACTGCGGTTACTGAAACCACGCTTTCTTTCTTTGCGTGCACATTTGGGTGCATTATGCAAATATTTCCACATAGTGGGGTAGATATGTGGGGGCGTGTTAGAACGAGCCGTTTTAGGGGGGCGTGGCAGAGTCTTAACTTTGATAAAGAATATCTCTTTGGATTTGAGACTTTAGTCTTTGCAACTTCAGGGATCTTATCTATGCACAATCAGCTTGTAACACTCCAAAGAGAAAGGAAAACTTGAAATCGCATCATATGACCCCTTTAAACAACCGTCTTTACTAAGACCACAGCACCATGATGCACAATTTATTAGGATTTATTTTCAGAGAATCTAATGTTATTCATTTTGAAATTAAATTCAAAGCCAAATGGCCAAATAAACAGTATACAACAAATCATAAAATAAATAAACAGGTTATATATTAAAAATGACTGAATGGATTATAAGGAAAGAAAAAGTTAAGATAACACGACGTACAAATACATATAGTCATTTTATAAACTTTTTCTTTCCTTATAATCCTCATATTATGATTATAAACATTAAAATGACTTGATATATTAAGGGCTGAAGATAAACTCTCTCTTCTTATCTATAAACATAAACAGCAACTCCAACATCAACCACTAGATGGCCACGGACTCTCCTTGGACGTGACGTTTGAACGGATATTACGTACACGGAAAGGCGTGCGTTTTCTGTCATGTGATGATCGCACATAAACAAGCGAAGAACTTTTTGTAAAATTGGGTTAAAGTGAAGGTAATTTTGCATACTATATAAGTTTCCTCAATTTAAAACAATTTACTAGATTAGAAATGTTGGTAGTTAGTTGGACTTTGCTTTTAAACAAGACGATGAGATGCATCTGTCAGAATTTCGTATCATTTCGTGTAATTTCCTCGTCGCTCTGTACTCTTTTTGCTACAGGGTGCAGCAGGCGAACTATATATTCAATCTAATGAATATGGCAGATGTGGGTATATTTGTAATGCATTTGCTTAAATGTTTTTTTTTCTTGAAAATGTTATAATGGGTTTGATTTAATTATTACAGAATCTGAGGAGTTATTTGTATAAACAACTGCCAAGGTAAACAGATTTATTTTGTATTTTACACAAGTTATTTTACCCCTCCATTATGCATTGGGAGATGTTATGACTGATCATTTTTCTCCGTCATCAGTGTTGAAGGACTCCATGCAATAGTGGTGACAGATAGAGATGGAGTCCCTGTAATCAAAGGTAACAGCATCAGCTCTGAGCTCCAGGTCTGTTTATATCTGCTTAAGCTTTATCTGAGATTTTGCTTGATTTCCCTTTTAGTTGCCAATGACAATGCCCCTGAATATGCATTGCGGCCAGCGTTCCTGTCCACCTTTGCGTTGGCAACTGACCAGGGCAGCAAGCTGGGTTTGTCCAAAAATAAGAGCATAATTTGTTATTATAACACTTACCAGGTACTTTCTTTACAGAAATTAAAGTTCATTTGACTTACTACTTGTTAAGAATTTCTCATTTTATTATATGCTGTTATTTCATTGGCAGATTGTACAGTTTAACCGATTACCCTTAGTCATAAGTTTCATCGCAAGTAGTAATGCCAACACAGGTGAGTCTCCACAGGTAATACGAAAGCCACTGTGCTTCATTATAATAACAGGTGAATGATCAATTTCCGTTTTTTTAAATTATCATTTAGGTCTGATCTTCAGTCTTGAGAAGGAACTAGTTCCTCTGATTGAAGAACTAAGGCAGGTGGTGGAAGTAGCTTAGCAGTTATTCATCTCAGCACCTACAGACATGTGGATGAGGATAAGAAAGCCAGAGATCACTCATCCAGTCTGGTGTCTTGACGCCTTGATGTCGTAGTTCATACACATGCATGTACATACATAATGTTGGATGGTCTTGATGCTGTATGTCTTTTATGAATGTAACCTGCTTGTCTCCTCATTAATAAATTTGTCTAAAGCTTTGGTTTACAAAAATAAATTGTTTATTGACTTTTTTATACATTTTTTACATGGTAAAAAAACTGTTCTTGGTTGGAAAATGGGTACTATGTACATGTTTCTAAACAAAACAAGAGTGCTCATTGTCAGTTCACACATCACATTAGAAGTAGCATTGCTCCTTAGAGAATTTATAATTTTATTATAATTTTACTTTGGTGATCTATACACTGTAAAAAATTACCGTGAATTTAACGGTAAAAGACTGTAAAAATGCTACAGTAAAAACCTGTTAAATGGTTAACGGTAAATTCCCCTACTATATACGGTGAAAAACTGTATTGGACATTACATGTATTGGACATTAATTTTATGGTAGTATACCATTTTTGGAAGTGAAAAATACTGTATAATTTACAGTGAATAACCGTAAATTGACATTCCCAGAATTCCCTGCGTTACATTTCAAATTTGATGTTTTTTTGTTGAAATAACTATGTTTCTTAGTTTTTTCTTATCAGTTTTGTATATTAGGGTTGTGTGTTACACCTAATGTTGTTAAATGAATGTTTATTGCATTATTTAAATGTCATGTGTGTTACCATGATGGTGTTTGGTGTTTGTGTGAATGAAACTGAGCACCTTCTATATATGTTATTGTTTAAAAGCTGCTTGTGATGGGCTTTGGTTCATCATGTGACTTTCTCATCACCTCCTGCTTTTGGTGGTTATCAGTGCATTACAAAGGTACAAAACAGATTTCAGTACTTCAGTAGGTTGGTATATTAACATTATATCAGTTAATGAAATTACGGTATTTAACTGTAAATTTAAGTTAAAACCTAAAACGTTGCTACCGTATTTTTAACGGTAAAATTCCGGCAACCACAGCTGCCGGTTTTTTACCGTAAATTTTACGGATTTTTTTTTACAGTGTAGAGTGCTGCAGGGATTCAGTATTTTGTAGCCTAAAACCCAGTAACAAGTTTGCATTTTAGCACTTTCAGTTCCATCATCCTGAAGTCAATGGGGGTTTTTTGAATGGGGTTTTTGGCTAAATGCCTGAAATAGTGTTTGTAGTTAACACAAGCTCAGGATTTTTTCATGTTTTGTTCTACAACAAACGGCTAAATGGGTCTACAGAGGTTGTTGGGGACTTTAAAAGTCATTAAGCCAAACAGGTAAACTCATCTAATCCGCTTTCACAGCCTTGTCTTGTTGTAAATAATCCCGCTCCTGAAAACCATTCTAACTCTAAATTTTAAGGGAAAATATTTTTCAACTAAAGACCGAATGAGTTGTCAGACTCAGAAGCTTAGTAGTGGTGATGTTTGTTTATAGCCTGCGTTTAGTTTTTTATTTCTGGTGATTGTATTTAAGTTTTAAAATTCATAAAATGTGTTTATTAAGCTTATCATGATGAACAAAACATGCAATAATAATTAACTTACGCTAATCACAGAGCTTTTTTTTTTTTTGCAATAATTCAGAAGCCAATGGAAAAATCCTGTTAGGTTTTTGTTGAAGGAACAAGGGTGATTCTAACTTCTGGGTTGGCCTACAGAAATATGTAATCACAGTAGAGCTCTATTCTGGGGAAAAAAAGTATATTGCATCCAAAGGTTTTAACTACTAAAAAAAATTCATTATATGTTTATGTAGAGGTTAAAAAGATCAAAGATCAAAATGATCATATAAATGACGGAATCAATGTGATTCAACTGTAATAAAAAAGAAAAAGGAAAAAAAGAGTTAAACTCAATATGATTGAAGAGTAATTGTTGGAGTGTCCACTAGGGGGAGATCGAAGGTTGCAGGTTGTGGCTGACGCGAGCTGTGCTGTGCGTCACAGCCAATACAGACTGACGCAGAGACAACAGCACGAGTCCGTGTCTTCATTCAGACACATATTGATGTGATTTAATGTACTGATGTATTCAATTATTCACAGTTCTGTTATTCAAGTAACATCTGTTGATGAAAGAGACATCACACAGCCAATACAGACTGACGCAGAGACAACAGCACGAGTCCGTGTCTTCATTTATTAATGTCTATTTTCCCCCTTTATCAGGGTGTAACATTTACCTCAGTTGCAAACATGTATATAAGGGGGGATGTACACATTTAGGAGCAGACACACTGTTTAGCTTGAGTTGGAGAAGAATAAGAAGAACTGAAAGCTCAACACAGAACAAAATCGGAAAAAACTACCTATTTTCAATTATAATCCCAACATTGGTAGTGCACAGCCTCCAGATATCTTTATAAAGCACAATAGCACGGTGCCTTGGGACTTCACTTCACTTAGATCTAAAACCTTGTGTGATTTATTGCCCAGAAGGCATCTTATGTGTGATGAGCTGTACAACCATGATGCCAAGATCACAGAGCATCAGATGCAGTGAATAAATCCTCTATATTTACTAATACAAAACTGCACACAGCTTGCATTTGCTCCAGTACTTCTCTCTGAGTTGAACATCATCGTCCTTTCTTTATCTGTGACTGGAAATGCAGGGTAGTCATCATTAGAGATAAAGACAACAGAGAGATAAATTTATGATTAGACTGGTGTAGTGGGTTCAGATGAATTTATTTCCACTGGAACAAAGAAATAATACACTCTATTTGACTATTACCTACACTGATTATTCATAGTGACTGTTCTTTCATTGGTTCCTCTTACCAGTTTCCATCGTAGTATCTTAATCCATTCATCTGCCTCAGCACCAGATTTTGCACACAAATAAAATGTCCTCTCGGGGAACACCAGACTATAGGAAAGAGAAACATGAAAAATCTTAATAAAGAGTTGTAATCATTGTAAAAACAAAAAAACATCTGTAGCACTGTGTAGGATAACATACTCATATTTTTTTAGGATTGCCCAAAGATTCAAGAATTTTGGAAAAATGTTTTAAAAAAAGAAATAGACCAGGTACTAGAGGTAGAAATACCTCTAGATCCAGTGGTGTGTTTATTAGGAGCATTGCCTAAAATATTTACAATTGTCACACTGTCTACAGTGTCGGAGCGAGGAGCACAGAGACGAAGGAGATAACTTCACAATCTTTAATTGAACTCAATAGCAGGGAACACAGGACAGGCATGAGACACACCATGGAAGTACAAAATGACGTTAACACTGGACAAAGGAAACCAGGAACAGAGGAAGAGAAGCCCTCACTGGGCTAAACCCGGGATCTGAGGCTCTCTCTGGGCCTAATGTGGGAACAGAAGCCCTCCCTGGGCTTGACTTGGGATTTGAGGCCCTCCCTGGGCCTAACATGGGAACAGGAGCCCTTTCTGGGCTATACTCGGGATCTGAGGACCTCTCTGGGCCAGACGTGGGAGCAAGAGCCCTCTCTGGGCCTGACGTGGGAACAAGAGCCCTCTCTGGGCTTGACGTGGGATCTGAGGACCTCTCTGGGCCAGACGGGGGAACAACAGCCCTCTCTAGGCCGGACGTGGAAACAGGAGCCCTCTCTGGGCTATACTCGGGATCTGAGGCACTCTCTGGGCTTGACATGTGAACAGGAGCCCTCTCTTGGCTTGGAACAGACTCTGAATTTGTTTGAACTGTAGTGGATTCAGGACTGAACTTGATGAAATGAGCGGACTCAGGGGCTGGAGCCGACACTGGAGCGGACTCAGGGGCTAGAGCCCACTCTGGAGCGGACTCAGGGGCTGGAGCCCACTCTGGAGCAGACTCAGGGGCTGGAGCCCACTCTGGAGCGGACTCGGGCTGGAGCCCACTCTGGAGCGGACTCAGGGGCTGGAGCCGACTCTGGAGCGGACTCCGGGGCTGGAGCCGACTCTGGAGCGGACTCCGGGGCTGGAGCCGACTCAGGGGCTGGAGGCGACACTGGAGCGGACTCTGGAGAGCAGATCCGGGTTGAAAACGGTCTCTTCCTCCTCATGCTCCTCTTTTGGTTTAAGGTTAAGGAGATTGGAGCTGGAATCACAGGGCTTGACAGTGGAGCGGCCGGCGGGCTTGAGAGTGAAGTAGTGTTGCTTTCGTCAACGAAAATTATGACTAAATATCATCGTCAACGAACCTTTATCACGTGACGAAAACGAGACGAGACGAAAATGCTGGTCATGTGACGATGACTATAATTAAATGTATAATGCAATATCGTTGACGAATAAAAACGAGACTAAATGTGGTTTACAAAATAAAAACTATGCTAAAATGTCTCTTCATTTTCGTTGACCAAAACGAGACGAAACGAAAAAGTGGCCAGCGGGCTTGAGAGTGGAGCGGCCGCTGGTTCTGGGCTGAGGACTGGAATGGTTCTGGGAGAGGCTTGGGGAAACACAGGAGGAGATGGGTGATCAGAACCCACTCAGTGGGTGTTGCATGCATCAGTCCAAAAGAAGTTAAATAAAAAGCACCCATCCATAAAAAAAAAATAAATAAATAAAAAAAGTGTCTCACACGGCTCCGGGGGGTGAACAAAGGCCTCCTGTAGCGAATCGATGCGTTTTTGTAAGAAAAATATCCATATTCAAAACGCAATAATCACTTTAATGTAGCTTGCACCAACAGTTGTATGTAGAAGCAGCTCCGGGACGCATCGATTCGCTACAGAAGGCCTTTGTTCACCCCCGGGAGCCGTGTGAGACACTTTTTTTTATGGATGGGTGCTTTTTATTTAACTTCTTTTGGACTGATGCATGCAACACCCGCTGAGTGGCATTAAACAGCTTGAAACATCAAAGACAATTTTTAATATAACTCCGACTGGATTCGTCTGAAAGAAGAAAGTCATATACACCTAGGATGCCTTGAGGGCAAGTAATTTATGGGTTAAATTTCATTTTTTGGTGAACTAACCCTTTAACGTCTACTTCAAAATTTGAACCATTTAAATACAGGATGAGATTAATCAACTCGACCAAAGAGAATTCACACGCAGAAAGACTACAGCAAATCGTTTCCTCATCCAGACCCAACTGAAAACAAGCACCGAGTGGAGCATCATGCCAGCTCACCCGATGGGAAAGCTTGAGGAATTCCTCCACATAGCTTTCCAAAGGCCTACCACCCTGCCGCAGGCACCACAGCTGGTCTTCAGCCCAGTTCATCTTTGTTGGTCCAGTGTTCTGTCACGCTGTCTACAGTGTCAGAGCACGGAGACGAAGGAGATAACTTCACAATCTTTAATGAACTCAATAGCAGGGAACACAGGGCAGGCAGGAGACACACGTAGCACACACCATGGAAGTACAAAATGACGTTAACACTGGACAAAGGAAACCAGGAACAGACACCACTATATATACACAAGACTAAACGAGGGAAATTGACGAGACACACCTGAACCAAATGACTAATCAAACGAGAGGGAGAAACTGGGTCATGGGGAGCACATGGGGAGAAAACACAACAAAACAGGAACATAGGTCTGACAACAATGAGGAAAATAGATATGTACTAAAGATATTGTTATTGATATCTAAAAAAATTATAACAGTACATTGAAGAAGGTTCTCCAAGTTTGGTTCAATGGACTCAAGAGACTGAAACAGGTTTATATAATGGAAAAAAATGACGGCATGGGTTAGATGAAGATGGATATTTTTCTTCAAAGATGGAAGAGTATTACAAGATATTTATATATGTAATTTAAGATGGGTCAACTAATGTAATATTAATATAACATTAATTTAACCTGCTCTCAGGATTTAATGTACAAATGTTTCCTCCGCAAAGAGAATGCATGATGACAGAGAATTTATTATTATTTTTTTTTTTCTCTCTCTCTCTTTTTTGGTCTGTCCCTCATTTGTAAGGGGTTCAAATTTTGGGGATGTTCTGTAAAAATATAAAAACAATAAATAAAAAGTTTTTTTTTTTTTTTAAGTTGTATCATGAAGTAAAAGGCTGAAATTAAGCATGCATTGGAAAATATGTGGGCAGGAGGAAGTCCATGTATAAGAGTTTCTGACTATACTTCCTCATTACTGAGAATCACTTGCATGTAGGAAAATATCAGATACACAATATCTATTTATAACACAATACTAGGATTTTGATGTCAAATTGTAATTACTTTCTATTATCACCTCTTAGTCGGTAGACAGACAGCGTGAATTTTGATTCATGTCGTGCACATTGTCTAATGCTGATTTAGTGAGTACAGGAACTGTAAGCTGTCAGCCACTTGAATGCTGCAGATATACCAGCTCATTTTCAGTTGCCAAAAATAGACAGTAATTTTATGGTTGGCCAACTGCAGAAGTTTCAGATGTAAAAACAGATAGGATATGTAGTCTAGCACAACAGAAAGGGGTCTTATTTTTAATCAAAAACTTTGCTTTTGTAATTAAATGAAACAGTCTGCCATTTTAGTTATCTCTATTTATTACAGTTTCTCTAAACACTGTTGTAAAGTAACAATATTTAACTTTATATTTATAGTTATATTTTTAACTGTAGCCACTCTTGTTACATAAAAACATACAGCATTCAAAATTTAACTGAGCTGGCCTTGTTGATTACAATTCCTGAATTTGAACGATGGCAGCAAACTAGGGTTATTATCGTTAAATAAAACTAAAACCATAAACAACATTCATTACTTTTCATTACTTGCAATAAAACATAAAATTACAAAAGATAAACATTAACTGAAATAAACATGTCATTTTCGTTTAGTTTAAATTTAAGTAGAGAGAGAGAGACAGAAAACATGCATGATATATTATCATGAATTATCACTTTATTATAAATCTCTTACCAGAAGCAGTTGACCCTCTCCTGACTGTAATCAAACTGGACAGCAGAGCACTCCGTCAGATCCAGGGTTTGTATTGGCTCTACAAACTGAGGAGACAGTTTTCTGTGAGATAAACAATCAACTTTAGTTCTTATCTAATTTAAATCTTATTGTACAAAATACACAAACCTACCATTTTATCCTTGAAATATTTAAGTTCATTTCTATTCAGTGTGAACCATCTCTGCTTCCAGTTCTGCCCAGAAAATAAATAAAGAGGAATCTGTCAGCCAATAAAACTAGGTCTAGGTTTGCTCTAGAACTAGTTTAACCCAGTTACAATTTACCTTATTAGCGTGAAACTGGCATTTACCGCAAACACTGGTTTGAATTTTTAATAGTCTATGTTTACATAGTAACTTTTGTAACCATACCTTGATTATCGCTCCTTGTTTAACCAGATAGCCTTCTTTAGTGCCAAGCTGTTGACAAGATAAAAGCACTTTCGATTCAGGAGCCCAGATAATACTAAATACACAGATAAATTAATTAATGTTATTATTATTAAAGTGCCCCTATTATGGATTTTTGAAAATTACCTTTCATGCAGTGTGTAACACAGCTCTAAATGAATGAAAACATCTTGCCAAGTTTTAAATCTAAAAGTGCACCGTGTATAAAGTTATTGTCTCTCAAAAGAAAGAGTCGACTCTGAATCATTGAAACGAGTCGTTTTTAAAACGAATCTTAAGCTGTTTCATGTTGAAGTCAACATGAAACATTAGCATATTGCCCGCCCACTTGTTGGTCTTTTCCCGTTGGTCTGAATGAAAAAGTAAATTCATAATTGCCACTAGGTGCGTTTTTGGAGCGGTAAAAATAGCGGTTTCCCCGGTAATGCTGTACACAAAGCAGCACTGCTGCTCACAAACGCTGCTTTATCAGGCATTACAGGCATGATGCAATGGAAATGAGACCAATCGGACCAATCACCACAGATTAGCGTCACGCAGAGGAGGGGCTTGGAAAAATGAATCTTTGAGCGAATCGTTTGGGAGTCCTTGAGCATGTAAGGTAAAAATAAATGCATATTATAAGACAACGAAAGTGTTTTTTGACATTGCATGCATGTCAACCTGTTGTTGGGGACTCCCAAAACCAAAATATGAACCTTTCATAACCCATAATAGGGGCACTTTAA